ACGGTGGCTTTAGATGTTCTACTAAATTTATGCACTCTTTTTTTTAATTGTAGAGATCTTACGTTTGTTACATTTTTTCATGTATGCAGTTATTTCAAATCTAAATATTTTTAGATAATGTTTCACGTGTTTTTTCGTTTCAGGATACAAACACATCTAGAGATACAAATCAAACTTCAAATAAGAGTAATGAAAGACAGAATTTCACAAAGAATGATTCTGTAAGTAAAGTGTATATATTTTAACTTAAATTTTATGTAACATTTTTAATAAAAATTTCTTTTATATTTATTATTACTCAAAAGTATTAACTCAACTACTGTTATTTGTAGCCACCAGATTTTTATGAAAAAATGAATTTTCTTGAACAGAAGAAAGAGCAAACTGGAAAGCAACCTGATCTTCATTTAGTAAAGGTATATTTATTAACATGCATATTTAAATTTTAACTTTCTTTGTATAAATTACTATATCAAATCATAATATTTTGTGAATTAGGCAAGAGTTGACAAAGTACATGTAGATGGACTTATGAGAACAAAGGATGACATAATAAAAAGCCAAGTAACAGAACTTTTTAAAGCTCAAAATTTTTATGAAGTGATTCAACATGCCTACAATGTCAGAGAAAAGCTGCAAAATTTAGGATGTTTTGGGAATGTTGGAATTTTCATTGATACCAGTCAAGGTCCTCGTGCTACCCCAGAAGGCGTTGAAGTGGGTCTATATAATTACACACTAATTCAACAAAAAATAAGTAATTTCTCAGATTTAATTCTTTTGAGTTTATTCATGAGTCATTTATTTAGAAATCAGCATATATTCTTGTGAGAAACCTTAAATCATGTATTTTTTCAGGTAACCTTTATAGTACGTGAAATGAGACGTCTAACAGGTGGAATTAGCACTATGGTTGGAAATAATGAAGGTTCAGTTATTGTTCAAGCAAAGGCACCTAATTTATTTGGAAGAGGAGAACGCGTTCAAATGGAATATTCTTATGGTTCAAAAAGCTCAACAAATATTAGTATAGCTGCTATTAAACCATTTTTACACAGTTGGCTCCATACAGTGTATGTAAAGTTATTTTATTTTAAGTTTAGAAATTGATTTTATAATCAAATGTTTTTACTGTTAACCATTTAATTTCTTTTATAGTTTAACTGGTAGTGTGTTCAATACATCCCACAAATTTCCATGGTCTGGTTTTAATCAAACCGACAAAGGTCTTTTATTAGATATTGCTCTCAATCCAGATGGAGCAGGTATATTAAAGCATAATTTACAGTACGAAGCGACATATAGGGAAATTATTTCTTTAAAACAAGCATCGATCTTTGTTCGAGAACAATGCGGTCCAAATTTGAAATCTGCATTGCGACATATTTGTTCTATCGATAAAAGAGACTCGTTAATATTTCCCACAATGGGAAGTCTTATACAGTTCTCAACAGAAGTAGCTGGACTCGGTGGAGATATTGGGTTTGTTAAAAATGATCTTACTGTGCAAACTAATTGGACGCCGCATGAATATCTAGTAAGTACCTACTAATTCGAAGTTAGTCTAACTTTTTTAATAATTTACCTTCGATACAATTTGTCTGATTATAGAAATTTAATTAGACCTTCCAGCTGGGTTTTCAATCTGGGTTGCTACGAGGATTTAGCGGTGATATGAAAATAAATATTGCTGATCGGTTCTTTTTGGGTGGACCACTGAATCTTAGAGGATTTGATACGAGAGGTTGTGGATATCGCCATGATGGTAATTCTATAGGGGGCGATGCATATTGGGCAGTAGCACTTCATTTATACACACCATTACCATTTAGACCTGGCCGTAACGGTTTTGGTGATCTATTCAAGTTACATGGATTTATCAACGGAGGAAATGTATCGAATTTTACGTTCAAGTTTGGTAAGACATTTTTTAAATATATTATTTCTTAATTTTCAATGGCTTTTAAAAAATATAAAAATAAACATGTTTTCATTATTTTTAGCTAATGATCACAAAGAAAATATGAAAATTTTTACGGAAAATGTTCGTTGTGCAGTTGGTGGAGGTATTGCGATGAAATTTGGAAATATAGCGAGAATAGAGTTAAATTTAATTATGCCACTACTATACCTCAAAAGTGACATATTGCAACAATTTCAATTTGGTATTGGATTGCAGTACCTATAAATGTAATTTCTGTTTGGAGGTAGTAATTTATACATGCTGTATTATTTTTATGTGCATTGTATGCATTTAATGTAAAATAAATTGTGATCATAAATTTATTACACTTACAAAAGTACATTCTAATTTCATTAGGTATAAGTATCTGAGAAAGCATTTGTCAATAAAAATTAATAAAAATCATATCCCTGAAGTTATTCCTGAGTTATTATTCCATGAAAATTGTTACAGAATAACTACATTTATTTCACAGTTTGCATCAGATGTTTAACATGCAAAAATTTCTCGGAGTATATATATTTATATATACATATATTAAATTTTTTCAGTGAAACTATGAATCATTTCATTATCTTATATACTGGTGTAACAAAAATTGCGTATTTAATAGTGTTTCTCTACATTTTTGAATATTTAAATGTGATTATTTTCTGACAATTTGCATTCAATTGTTAACGCAACTAAACATAAAGTATATGTTATTTTATAAGAAATGGTTATTTCGAATATTATATATCGCAACATTCTTTAATGCTTTATTTTTCATTGGATAATACTCTACATGTGAATTGTCGTTACAGTAGCGCCCCTAAGCAAATAAGTTGTAAGTGATCCGTGCATCAACTATACTTGAAAATGGCCGCTTAGAAGTTACCGTCAAAATGTCTGCTACGATAATGTGTCATTTTACAATGGAATCGTTCGAAATTATTGAAGAAACGAAGCGAAATATTGTGCCTGAAGTAACAAGATTTATTAAAAACTCATCGTTGAAAAATAATAAGTGTGGTGCAACGAAAAATCAGTTGTCATATTGCGAACAAGATATTCTACGTGATTACATTTGTCACGGTTGCGAGGGCTATCTTTGTTGTATGTATACGTAAAAAACAATATCATGTAGATTAATTGCATTATAGCATGAAATATTGAATTGTAATGATGCCGTTATAAATATACTAAACTCAGAGTAATGCTTCGGATTTGGAAATTCCATATTTAACAATTTTGATATTAAACAATGTTTGGAATGTACGCGATAAATCTGCGGGTATGTTCGACCGCATTGTAACTGTAGGGTAGGATTCAAGGGTATTTTCAAAAATGTCAAAGCTGGAGACCAACATGATTTGTTAGATATATTTTGTAATAATTAAATATTTTTTAAAGTTTTGCTTTTAAATATGAATTGCTGAATAATGTTTCTAATGTGTTAAATCTTATTTTATAGGTAAACAAAGAAGATTTATGAGAATTAAAAGAGGTTGTAGAGGAGTATCAGTGTGTTGAATAAAACATGTAAGGATATTTGAACTATGACATTTTAAAAATTTGGATTTATTTTTAAAATTTGATATGTTTTGTTTTGCAGTACCTTTGCTTCCTCCTTAAACATGTATTCTGTGCAGAGTTTACCTGCAAAAACAACAGTGGAGAAAATGTATTCGATGAACGATGCATTGAACAAAGAAAGAAATATGCCAAGCCCAAAGAAGGAAACCATGTTCCATAGTGTTTTTAATGCTCTGAACATACTTCGGGAGCAATTCTCTAAAGTTTCTGCTTCATTCATAGCAAGCATTAATTATCCATTGTCTGTAACACTTGTGAACAATGAAGGTGTAATTCCTCAAGATTTTTTTAAAAATTTGACAAATAAAAGAGAGTTATTAGGTACTGATGATATATACATCCACAATACCCAATTAAAAGAATCTTTAAATATTGTTGAAAGTGTCCACAGTGATGTATTTGATGAAAAGCAACATTATGTAGGTAGAATTTTTAATGAAAACACAGAAGCTAATTTAAAATTTAGCTATGAATACATTGATAACAAGAACAAAGATACAAGATCTGGTAAAAAAGAGTCAGTTATTAAGGATGATATTAAAAGCAATACAACTAATTGTAATTACTTAGTACCAATTGAGAATTCAAACAAGGTATGTGAGCAGAAATTGTATGAATATATTTGTTCAGACATAAACGCACAGAAAGTATATGCTGGAAATAATTGTGAAAATACTTATAGTAAGAGCACTTGTAATAAGGAACAATTTTCCAATTACGTTTGCAACAGCGTAGACGATAAGATGATCACACATATAGAACCACCTAATTGTTCACCATCTAATTTAGACTTGTGTACACAATCAGTTCAACAAACCACTGTATCAAATCTGTTTACAAATATGTTCCAAAAAGTTTTTGGCGGTGTAACAAATCGTTTTTGTAGAACAGACTCTGAATCGGATATCACAATGAAACGATCATTCTTATCGAAGCAGCGAAGAAAGCTTAACGCTGCAGCAAAAGGTAGGGGTCGAGGACGAGGAAAGTCGCAGCTTAGACGTTCCGGTGTCAGTCAAACAAGACACAGGAAGGAACACACTAAGCACGACATTGAGGAAGATATACAAAGCGATTTTACCACCTGGCAAGAATTTGAAATATGTCACATAACAGAAAGTAAAGAATCAGAAGACTATTTTAGTGTAGATGAGGATACAGTAGATGGATTCAGTACTGTACATTATGTTATACCAAAAACAGTTAGCCCTGTAGCATATACATTTGCTGATGTAAAACCTAAAATTCAAAAATCAAATACACGCAGAAATGTTGATCAGGGAATATCTAAATTTTCTGCAAAAATGAAAAGTATACCTGAATGCACAGAGGAAACAAATATCTTTGACCAAAATTTTGTTGAAGATAGATACAATTTACAGAAGAATACATTTCGGCCACGCCTGATATCAGAAAGTTCTATCGATTCAGAAGATAGTTATTGTATAGTCTTTGAAACTAGTTCTGAAGTAACTTATAAAAGTGACCTTGATAGTGAGGAGAGTGAAGAAACGAGCGAAGATGAGGGAGGATGTAAAGATGAAGAATCTGTCCCTCCAGTTCAAAAAGTAATTAGCCACTTGCTATTTAAATTTGCTTATTACAATTCTCAGATAACAAGCAACGAGATTTTTATTGTAGGTGAAATTTAATTTAAATCCAGTCGTTCACGTAATGATGCATTGGGATTATGCGTACCGTGCGGCTCGGAAAGGTCCATGGGAGGAGATGGCTAGAGACAGAGAACGGTTTAGAGGGCGTATAAATTGCATAGAACGTGTTCTTAATCCAATATTAACTACTCAACACAGAACTCACATTTGGCAAGAACGATTTGCACTTACTAAATAACATTTATATTCACCGACCCTTTTAAGGTAACTGCATCGTTGAAAATTACAAGGTATAGAAGAAGAGATGATGTATCATAGTAAAAGAGAATATGTATAATATGTCTTCCAAAATGATAAAATAGGCTGTGAATAAATAGTGTAGGACGTTTATATTAAAATAAAATATGTTCATTAGGAATGCAAATACTTTGCTGCTTATGCTCTAATACCAATTGATAAGCATTACATAATTGTTTTCAAGTAACTAAAAATTTACAAATCTGTACACTTTAAATTTTTTATTTTGTTTATTTTGTACAATCTGATAATTGCCTAGGAAAAACCAGCGTATTAAGTGGCCTGATTATAGACCATATCATGTCTGGTACATCATGTATAGTTAAACCACGTTGTTATCGAAAATTGTACTTTGCAATCTGCTATATATAAATATAACAGCAAATGCTAGAATTCATGTTGTATAAATTACATTAAGTGATACATATACTTTTAAATTGTCAAAGTATTTTTTTTAAATCGTGGTAAATATGATTGTAGTGGGAATAACAAATTTCATAATATTTCATTGAATAAATAATAGAAACTTCATATTAAATCACCTAACTTAATTAGCACACACGGTACTATTGTAAATAAAGAAATATTAAAACAAAATAAAAATTTAAGTTATATAAACAGAAAAACATTTTTATATTAATGCTTCTTACAAATATTCTCTGTAAAAGAGATGCATAATCAGTTTAAATAGTAGGCTAACACATACGCACTCGTGCACGCATGTTTGTATGTATGTATGTAAATAATGCATATATATATTTAGTTGAATTATTTCATCTTACTTACCTAAGCTATGAAATATAGACAAGTTGTTTGAATTATGCACTAGTCATTAAATATATACACTATCAATGTTTTTCGTTATATTAAAAAAAATTTATTGGAAGCACTAATTATTCATGTTTATTTCTTTAATGTATGTCATCTCTTCTCCTGTGCTACTATTTTGTAATATAATTAAAATTCTTTTTATCACATTTCCAACTGAAATCATGATATATGTGCATTCTTTAAACACAGGAATTTAAGTCAAATGTTAATAAGTTAAAAATTGAAACTCATAAAAGATAAATTTTACTTTAATTTTTATCATTATGTAATATCATATGGATTTATATGTGAAGTAAAATGTAAACGTCACATATTGATATGATTGAAGATTTTATTTTTAATTACAGTTATAACGAATATACACAAAAAAGACATAGAAAACTTTTAGTAAGAGTATATCTAATTTTTGTTTGAGTATATATCTGTAGGAGTAACGTATTTTGGCTACCATTTAATTTAATAAGAATTGTTTCTTGTTTAGAATTACTGATGTGTATAAATGTTAACAATTTATAAATTTCATTACTTAATTCATGTAAATTTCATCAAACACGAACGATCCATGAAGTCCGGCGTGGATTAACACACAAAGAATCGTTCTTGCCAAACATGTTGTGTACAATATGTATTTAAAATAATTAGCAATTATTCTATATGTACATATAATAGTCGATGATATATGTGACGTTGTATGATAAACTATAATAATTAAATTATAATCCATTTTATTTAGACTTATTTAACAATTTTTTTCCACTAGTAGCTTAGACTTCATTTTAATTTCCAATGTATAATGATGAGAATGAAAGATTAAATCTACACATACATAGTTTCATATGTACAATTTTTATTAAGGGAAAGTAGAATAGTATTTTCACTTTAAATGTACCTAGCATATAAATATATGTATATATCCAATTAAATAAACATTCATCTCTTTTACAATGGCTTGTAAAGCATCCTGTCTCAAGGAATTTTCAACACCTGTTTCATAAAAGTAACTTTCAATAGAAATACGATATCTATTAACAGAAGAAAATTTCTGACAAATATTACAAGGTTCTAATTAACATCATTTTTCATCAAAGATTAACCAAAAGGAGACTTGACCATTTTAAAAGTAAATGAAATACAAGTTAGAAAACGAGACATTCGCATTTAACTTTTCATCAGAGAAAAAAAAATAGATTTTAAATTTTGGTTGTGTACCAAGTACGTTTTCTGGTCTGCACTTGGATGCACATCTTACTCTCACTAGTATGACATTATTATGAAGATATTGCTAATTACACGCGTCGATGAAAGAAGAATCAAGAGGTTTACCGTGGTTCCGACACACTATTAATTTGCCTGTCATGAGTAACTTGAGAAGTTTCTCAGAGCCTAACAATGAATGTAATAACATAACCCGAATTTATGCCAAGGGCAAGTTACATGACTGAGTGCTTGATTGGTGGTCAGAAAGCTAACATTGCAGTTATGGATCCTGCTCCTTAATTGTCCACCTGCATTCATTTTGAAGAACAATGTTCTTTCGACACCATACTATCGGTTTCGACAGAAACGTCGCTAATATTTCTACATTCTAATAGATTCTAAAAATATCGATAATTTCATCAAACCTCTTAATAAAAAGAATACTTCATAAAAATGATCAAAATGCTAAGAATTTAGCATTCACTATTTTTTTTATTAGTGCATCAATGTCAAAATGGTATTCAAGGTAATTGATAACGGTAAGAAAATGAAATATTTATAGTCTTCGATTAACATGTTTTTCTGACATTGAAGCACAGAAAAACATCCCGTGGGAAACTCTTTGTTGATTTCATTTCATAAGAAAATCACTTTATCGTAATTTGTGTTTTATTTGCAATAAATTTCTCGCGATCAGATCAAAGAAAAGATATTGAATCACACTTAATTCGCGCGTATGTTAATTTCAGTATAATTGTGTACCTGGAAGTCGTTCTATTCATCGAGATTCCGTTTTACGATTTGATGAATTCGGTTCCGTGGAATTGAAATTACAAAGGTATAGCATTAGAAATTTTGATTTGTGCCGCGTTTTCTTTGACTCGTACACGAATTATGGTATGTGTGACGTAAAGAAGAAATCAAGTAGCGTAATGTATTGCTCGAAATAATTGGAGGATTTCACATTTGAAAAATGAATGAAAATATGAAGTTACGAAACGTTGAATTTGTAATTAACATTTTATTTCTATAGAGGTTTCTTTCAACCACACTCGCATTATTTTTAAAATGATTAAGATATAAATTACAAATACTACTTGTATATTTATTTCTCTATTGAGATTAAAATAACAACAATTTCTTGGTAATTTAAAAGATCAAGCAACGTGACGATAAATATTGCAATGTATTGCAACAGTATATTCATCATTGTCCAGGAAACGCGTTGAACATCTGCAGTGAAAATAACGTCGGGGAGAAGGTAAACCGGAAGAGGATGGGCACTATTTTAACTGGACGGCTGGCATAATACAGGCGGCTACAACGGTGGATTATTGCAACACTGCGTTTCTCGATCCACGATGTTGTTGACACAACAAATCAACGACTCTTTGTCAAATGATAAATCACCCGGTTGCAAGAATGTAAAATTATCACGATCACAATTATTTACCAGACTAATGCAATTAGTCTTGTTGTTTTTAGCAAGTAATGATAGATTTAAAATTTGTTTGGAAAAATAGAAAATATTGACAAAATTTGTTGTTTCGATGCACTTACAAATGTCTGACTTTTTGTTTCAATCGGTAAATAAATTTTTATATTTTTTTATAGGGTTTTTGGAATATCTTTTTTGTTTATTGAACGAAAACGTTCCTTTAGTTATTGCAATCTTTAAAATAAATCGATTGTATACATTACGGGGGGTAACATTTTAAACGGTCAAGATGTAAAGTCGATAAAGAAGAATGACGAATAACTATCGAAACTGTTAGTTGAAGGAAAGCGTTCTACCAAAAAGTAGCATACTAGTCAATTAAATAAATTATCCCTGTAACAATATATCAAAGCATGTATTGTTATATATTAAAGGAAACAGAGATAATGTAAATCAGGTGTCTACAATGCTTTCTACGCAAGTTGCTTAAATAAAGATTATTGTTCAGGTTATGTAATCCATGCTTTTTTTAAGTATTTCTGAAAATGTTTCTCAATAATTTTTTACCTAGTCACTATGGAATCCAAAGCTGGATTATCCCTCAAGATCCTAAATCCCATTCAGGACGGTGACTCATCAGCTGACAAGTGTCATCTTCACTTCGTTTGAGCAATGACGCGTTCTCTTTTTCTCAAAATGTGCAGCACGCATTAGGGAAGAGTGCGCAGCGTCGATTCTAACTTGTTGCAAAATCCGACTTTGTCGGTTCGCGATTTCACGTGGCGCCTTTGCGTCTACCGACGGAGGAAAAAGATATTGTCATTACTATTCGAAGATTATTCCATGCGATCTGCTTTCACCTATTCACGATCTCCAGCGACGAGGCAACGTAAGAGTTCTCGTATGACGCACACGTGAAATTCTGAGTTACGCGAGAAAATTTTGTAGACGGTTCCTCATCTGGGTTGGTAATATATAGCGGTTGTCCCAGTTTCCTGAGCAAAAGATAAGAACATAGTGTTCTGTAATGAGATACGCCCGGCAAATGGCACACAAACGACTCGTCGATCTCCCTCGAGCACGCAGATCGATCTTTTTCCTTGATTAAATCGATTGTTCGAGATCGTATTGGCTTTGTATCTGCGATACTTGTATATCTATTTTCTAGTTGTGAATATATACACTATTTGTACGTCTCGTATAAGCTGCTGATTACCTGTAGTGTGGTTATTTGTACAGAATGATTCAATGATAGTATTTAGCTTTCACACGGATATTTTAGTAAATTCTAAATTCACACGTAATACTAAATTCAGAGCGAGAAATGTACGTTTTTGCACGTACATATAACTTGATGGCCAATTTATCAAAGCTTTTACTTCCTTTTTTTTTTTACCAATGGAAGATTTAATCAGGAAAAGATAATATTTAGCCCGCAACTGTACGAGAAACATCTTCTGTATCGTTATTATTCTTTGATGATCCTGAAAGGCCTCTGCGTTATTTTTAATCGTTACAAATATCCACACGAAAACAAGTTGCTCATCGCGTATGAAAAACATTCGATTATGCGAATCGTTGACACAAAAAATTCGCATGATTTCGAGAATTTGCACATTATAAATCCTCCGAACTGAAGTTCCCTTTCACTGACAAGACGTTCAGCTATGCACACACGCCTGGGACACCAGTAGGCTTGTATGCGTGTGTGCAAGCATAATATTGACGAGATGAAAGATTTCGCAGATATTCGTGCACCTGTGTGCACGCGTGTGCAGATATAATTGAACTAGATCAGAACGCTGCTCGCATATAGCGCTACAATACATCCATATCCGATTGCTGGACTCTTCAAAATTACATCATCCACATACATGTGTATCCGGCACTAACTCATGTTTATTTTGTTCGTAACATAATTTGGCCCACTGGTATCGTTACGTAATAATTTTTTTTTTGTAATAAGAATTAACTCGATTCTAAATTATTAAATACTTTTTTTTCTTTTTTAAAAATTCATTCTACTTTTTTATTATTATTATTATGTTTTTTTTTATTACAGTGGTCCAATTTTTCAAGATTTTGGAGTCAAACATTCAATTAATTCCAAGAGGTGGAATAACATTAACGGAAGAGTTACAATCGGTATCGCTAATTTTATTATCGTTTCCTATAATTCTTTTTATTCCTGTAATTTTAATAATATCCTGGCTGAACCACTTTCAAAGTTATTCAAAGTCACGAAGCGAGTCGCGTTGTTTTCCTCGAGATTTAATTTCACAATAGCAATGGCGACAGGCGTGATCAGAATCCACTTAATAAATCGTGATCAACAATACGATCTACATAGTTCGATCTTTTAGCTCAGCTTTCGAGCGACAGACACCTTGCTTGGAATACTTGGAAACCTTTTGTCGATGTTACTAAACCTCGCGACAGATAACCGGTTGCAACACCAGCCGGTGAACCTGACATTCCGGATCTACAACAATGTTTCGCGTCGAGTGGATCATTATGTTGACAACGAGATATTTACGTCTTCTTTTGGAAAAGGGATAATCGTATGTTAGCATTGAATGGAAAGTTACGATGGTAAATGTATTTTATATTTAATTGTACGATTTTGTGAAAGTACAAATAGAACAAGAATTATGTTTCAATTATGTTGAACGAGTATGCTTGTTAAAACGCTTCAACACGTACAGATCGAATATGGAAAGGTTAAATTGAAAGTAAACGTATATGCAGGTAACGTGAATGGAAGGATTATGGCTCTTTCTGGTTTGCGTGGCTTCCTATGAAAAATGGATGCTTCTCTGAAGAACACTCTCATTCCGAACGTGACGTAAGATTTATCTACTAAGGCCAACATTTTTAACTTCTTGGAATGCCTAAAAATTTTCATCGCCACTTACAAAGATTATTCTCTATTGTTTTAGAAAAAGTAAGGGAAAGAAGGAAGTATAATGGTTGAATGTCGAAGAGAAATAGGTGACACTAGAAATTTGTGGTCCTTGTGCGGAGCTTTATTTCAGAAAGCGTGAAGATCTCGTCGCGGAACTCCACAAACTTCCAGGATATCAACGCGGAGGATCATCTGCGATGAGTTTCTCTGTCTCGTCGAGAAACTCGACAACGGGGAGAGTCGCGAGCGGAAGAGAAAGCGTCGCAACGAGGAGTAGGAACTTTGGAGGAAGCTCGAACCGTGGTAAAAACGTTCTCCCAGGTGAAATCCGACTCTGGAGCGGAAGTGAGCTCTATTCTCAAGAAAATCGAAATTCCAGCATCCAATTGCTTAGAATGATATCGCAAAGGAGAATCTGCAATCTTAACGGCAGTGAAAGCAGTAAGAGTAATTGGAATTGTAGTCATAGACCGAGAAGACGCTACTATGAAAGCTTTCGCCATTCAGAAAACTGTTATTATTATCTTAGAAGAAATTCTATTGGACGTCTGAGGTTGAAGCTTTAAAAGACGGAGATCAGGATGGAGAGAAGGAGAGAAAGATGAGCAACTTGTCGCTGAAATAGCATGAAGAATCCTTGGTCTAAAATAGCACTGGATGTTGGGAGGAATTTGAATGAATAACAGCATATATTATTACTCACAAGTAGTTTTTTTTAAATCTTATTTGTAATAAGGGCTACTAAACGAATTAAATGTTAGGATGAAAGACACCGTGGACATTATATTTTGGAATAAGGACGATAGAGGAAGATTAGGCAAATTATACAGATGACATTATTAAACTGTTATAGCAGGTGAACATCATAGGCTGACCTGTTCCTCTTCCCACACACCTTTCTCTTTGCCCTGTCGGCACTCTGAGCGATTCGCGGTCGCACGTGTGGGAACAAATGTCAAAGTATATTGGAATAATTCGTCGAATGCTGGATAGTTCGCGGAAATGCGATTTCAATATTCATGAATCAACACCGTCGAAAATCTTTTAGAGGAAAAGGACAAATACATCGATCGATTGCTTTCTTTCTGTCGGGAGTCTGAACCTGTCTAACGTTGAAAATACCACGAACTTGCTCTGTTCTGGTGATTCAGAAGGTTACAGTCTCTTCACTCGGAACAACGATGCCAGTGGGCAACTTTCCCTTTCTTCTTCGCTTTCCTCCGCGTGGTTTTGCGATACTCTATAACTTCATCTTGTTAATTAAGCATATGAAATCGTTGAAACACAATCGAACGATAGTTACAACGAGTCCGATAATGTCTAGGTTTGCAGGAATCAGTGAGAAGTGATATTGCCGATTTTTTTGCAAGTTCGATCGTAACTTCTGCGTTGCATGAATCTATTACGCAAGCGTTATTAACCATAAAGCACCTCTAGTCTTGATTCCTTTCTACTCGTTCTTCGAAACAGCCCGGAAGAAACTCTTTATGGTTTAATATTTTATTAACGATCGTTTCCTTGTGCGGCACCCACGTTCTCGAGCGAGTAGTACATTCGATTAATCGGTGCAGGCTATGGGTTACATTTAAGCAATGACGTGGAGTTATCTAGCAATGTTAGTCTACCTTAAAAATAATTAAAACAATAGTCAATATTGTATTGTAAAGTAATCATTGGTCAAGCTTATAATTATAATTTTTCATCAGTTTGTATTAAATTTTCAAATAAATATCATTAAAGGAATATATATTACAAGTGAGTTTCTATTTGATTTGAACGACGATCAAGTGAAAACATGCAGGGAAAATAAGAGTGATAGAATTCGTCTCCTTAGCAACACTTGCAGATCATTAACACTTCGATCAAGAAAATAACAAACGAATAATTAACAACGAAACGCCTATTAATCTACACCCAATCAATAAGTGCTAGCAGCAAACTAATTAATAATAGCCAATTAATTAATAATACACTTCCAAGCAGTAGGATGTTAACGAAACAGCGAAAGTCAGTTACAACGATACGGTTAAATGAACATGAAACATCAGAATCGACACTTGTCTCGTTAACCCTATAGCACGCGTGCATCTTAATCGTTCACAATTACCGCTGGCGATACGCTTTTACAAGTTTTTGTAACGGTGCTCCAGGATTTCGAAGTAAGTGGTTCATGCGAGAGATTCGGCCGTTTCAAACTTCAGGAGAGCGCAAGCGCATCGCGGTTGGAAGAACGATGAAACGAGGAACGAAAGGAGAACGGGTTCGGCCAGCCTCTTTTCTTTGTGTATATACAACAACGATTTCGCGACACGTGACGTGGTCACGAACGCATCGTTAGCCGCCTTTGTTCACTATTGTGACATGATACACGTGAATTGAGTGTAATGTACAATTATTATTCGTGGTACAAAAAACTGCCGGTCACGAATTAGAAATCTCAATAATTTATAATTGTACAAAATATAAAATGAAAGATATCTCGTTTTTTTTTTATTTCTCGAAGTAGTACCTACCAATGAATCACGTTTCTAAACAGAATTAATTTAAATCGGAGACACTCATGATTATCAGTATTACAATAGATTAACCCTCGTTATACTGTGCCGGAGTCACTGGTGACTTGCCGTCTTGAGGGCGATAACGCAACAGTGACAGAACTGTCGTGTTAGTTACAGAATGACAATCGCTTTAGAATTACCACTACAAGTCCACAACGAGAAGTGTAACCAAACACGGGACGTTTGGTTTCTTTAGGTCTCACTTGACACAGCGGCAAATGAACCAATACATAGAAATAAAACACTCGTGCTCGACTTTTCTTCAGCACAAAAAAAAGAAAATCAGATGGATCTAAAGAGACAGGCAAGAAGACTAACTAAAAGAAAAAGAAGAAAATAAAAAAGAACGATCTGTAAACTGACAGGTAACCCACTTTGTTATATGTATCGGTCAGAAGTGGAATGCATTCGTCGTGGATTTGATTCGATTTACATATTTTCATGGTGTGAGAGCCCAGGCATGTACAACGGTGCGCGTTCTATGTACCGATCAGGTGACATATGCACATGTTCGACGTCGTAGCAAAGAGCTCACGAGCTGATCGAGCATCGGGGGACGCGAACGATTCTTTGGTGACTGGTGGTTCAAGAGGTGAGAGACCATAAATGTTTGGTGGGGACAACAGGACCCCGCCCCATCAACAGCTATAAAATGCCGGTACGAGAATCGGACCCAACCAGTCTTAATCGGTACACGAAGATCCATTTTTTCTTCCCTCTTCGGACGCACACGGTCTGCTCTCCTTCCTCTCTCTCTGCGTGTCATCTTGGAGAACATGAAGCTCGTACCGATCCTGCTGCTCGTCGCAGCGGTCGTCTTCGCCGCCGAGGAGAAGGAGGAGGAACGTCCCAAAACGTTTAGAAGACTCATCCCTGCTGATGTACTACGCGGTGAGTCTTTTTCTTCTTCTTTTCTCTATTACAGAAATTTTTCAAATTCCACAGTCGATTGTTACCAATTTTCTGGTGAATATGAAAATGTAAATTGAAACGGTATTACAGTTACCTGTATTAATATTTTCTGTTAGAAGTTTAGGAAAACGTGGTAGGAGGATTCGATCCCCAGTTCTGACCAAGCTAATAGAACTATGTAAGAGATAGATTGTAATTTGTAAGAATGTCAGACAACGATAACCTTCTGATAATAAATTTCATGAAGCACAATTGAAATTTCTGTAAGTCTATTGCTCCAAAGTCTGTGTAAAGGACGAAGCAGCAGTCTTTTAGAGTATATTGTGAGATAGATTGTAATTTGTAAGAATGTCAGACAACGATAACCTTCTGATAATAAATTTCATGAAGAACAATTGAAATTTCTGTAAGTCTATTGCTCCAAAGTCTGTGTAAAGGACGAAGCAGCAGTCTTTTAGAGTATATTGTGATGTATATTACAAACTAAATATGCAAACTATAGTTTAGTGTTATCAAAGGAACACGTGCCCACAAAGATTTTCTAAAATCAGTCAGCTACAGTCTCATACATATGCACATTTCGACTTTCCTCTTGTCCTGTGCATAATCTGCAACCAACTGTCATCACGTCTCATATAAATATTACGTAAAAACATATGTCAGAATGAAGAGATTCTGTCGAAACAAAAAACGTGATCTGGTACATGCATGACCTGAAAGTGGGACGATTTTTATCACCCAGGGCTCTTCTAAGATACACACCTTTCTTAGAACGGGTACAGATCCAAGCGCGAAACTGGTTGGAATGCGATTAAATACATGTTCGATACATCAGTATCATCTTACGACTCTGTAAAATTATTGAAGAAATTATCAAAAGTCACGCACAGTAACGTAAACATATGTTAATCACCTGGCAACATTTTCTTCTCTATTCACTACTTTCGTTCAACCTGGAAACGCTTTCCAGAATTGCAAATGAAGCGACCACCTCGACAAGCTTGCAAAAATAGACATACATAAATCGTGTGGCTTCATCTAACAATTCCTACTTCTTTAACTTTCCATTTGAAGCTGAGCCTTGAGACAACGCTCTTTTCACCCTACCGTTGTCGACCGTCCCGTCCTCTTGTAATAATTCATCGTACCGTGACGCGTTTACAACAGTACAAAAGACCTTTTCCTGTTAAAAAAAAAAAGAGAGAAAAAAAATGAAACGTCGATTGTCCAAGGCATTGTCCACGACAATTCAGGCTGACAGGATCACAGAAACCACGTGAAAGTCTTCGCCCGTTTATTCTTCTCCGTCGCAACCTGACTCATTTCGTTCTCGCATCTTCTCTATATGGAGCTTCGCTTTCAAGGTAAAACACGATCTGTGAGATCTAATATCTCTCTTTCATTTGAAATTCTGATCCCAATTACTTTGTTGCACAAACATTCATGTGGATGATAAAAATCTTCACTATGAATTGTAAGACAGCATTTTCACGACTTATCTCTGCAATATCAATTTCTCAATTCATAAAGTTTCACCAGGTAAAAATTCATGTAAATTATTGCAACAATCGTTCGCAATAAGTGTAAATTGAGATTCTAAGAAGGGAAAACATTAGTGGCGTGTAACTAGGCGCGCATAAGACATATATAATCACTATGATGACGCTCAGAGGACACGGCGTGCATACAAATCATATAGGAAGCGAGTTAGCGGCTTTTATCACGAGGAAATCGCGGCTAAAGTCACGAGACTCGATACCATTTATCTCAGATAGTTATCAATGGTTTAAAATTTATTCTTCTACGTTGATCGTTTCAATATGTGACAATTAAAGATCGTTCTTAACGCAACGTTGATTCATGCGTCGTACTGTGGCCTGGATACTCCGTATTTTTCGCTCCAGACCTAGATTCCAGATCAAGATGAATAATCGAGTTGCTCACGAACTGTTGCCAGCGAATACCGAACACGGTGTCGCGTATACACTTACGTACAGTGTCTCTTGGGTGTTGTTACATTAAGGACACTCTATTTATATACCACAGGAATAGAGATAACGAGATTAGATCTTGTTGTGAAATTTTCGATAGAAGTACAACTTGTACCCCTGTTATATAACCGCCATTGGACGCTTTGTGCTCGAGCGAATCGCCGACAGGATCAAGTATTAGAACACTGAAACGCGCAACATTAAAATTTTAGACGTTGAGTAAGGCATTAATGTTCGATGAAATTAGTGTGCAATAAATTCTCTATATCTTTACCATAACGTTTATCGTTAAGTGACAATGAGTTTACCTGTAAAACAGACACTGAATCTCTCTAGTTTGTAACTAAAAATAAGAAAAAATTATAACCAATTACTTCATTTGTCATTCTTGCAAATAGTACAGTCAAAAATGAATAATCTTTCAATAAACAAACTATTGTGTTCGAAGTATTGATGAACCAATGACGAGTTAACTCGTCTTCCTTAATTAACAGATTAAGTTTGAAACTGCCTCCTAGAATAATGCACGAGTAACGTCTGAAACATGACGAATATAAATACGTGTTACATTTTCGATAATTGATAATGAAAAAAAAAAAAAAGAAGTAGATAATATCCATTTATAAGTACAGTTACTTGTTCCCGTTGGAGTTAAGTTTCACAGTCACGAATCTCGGTCCGGGTGTGTACCCGTTTCGAAACAGGATGATTACAGAAAGTAGGACCTGGGTTGGGTCGACGAAAGCGGGCCTCGAATGAAAATTCGCGGACGTTGAGACTGATTACGCCGTCCCCTTTGATTTCGAGAGAAGAATCGACTTTCGAGGTGCATCGATACCTTTCGAGTATTCTCGCAACGTGCGCCTTCTGATTGCTACCTGCGATCTATCGGTTAATTTACTGCCAGACGACGGGATTTCTAATCGAGACACGCATCGGAGACTAACCACGCGACAAATAGCGTATCATTATACGAAAACATTTACACGTTTATCGAAACGACAGTGTGGATTTGTTAATTGGACAAATGTGCGACGTGAATCGCAAATTACCCTTCGTTTCGAGCTGATCCTTAATAAGCATTACCGGAATTATCTTGGACTGCATGTATGAATGCGTCGCGTTTAAATCTAAATAATCGGTGAACAATCGTGGAAGATGCGTTTTCGTTTCGAAAGATGTCTTCTGAACATTCACGTACTTCGTGTTACACATTAATATTTGTGAAGAGGGGGAAAAAAAACAAGTGAATGGATGTAGCATTACACCTACTAACATGAAAGCTGACCCTTTCAGCCAGATGAATCTTAATGTCGGTGAAAGTCTAAGAACGACCACTATAAATCATTACCCTACCGCTTCCTTAAATGGTTCTCTCCTCGGAAATAACGCCCGTCTCGCGAGAATTACAAATTAACTCGCGAATACTTTTTTTCTGCCGTAATGTCTTTCAAGCGGATCGATGTATGCAACCTGCCGGCGACGGTAAAAAACGACGTGGTTTTAGCAGATTTACCGGTCAAAATTGTTGCTTTTTACTATGTGAATAGCGGTAGATTAAATTTTTCTCGTGATTTTACGATGTTATTAACAAAATTACACGACGAACCGCCAAGTCGAACACGCGTCCCCTTCTTCTTTCCAGATCTTTTTTAAT